CTTTGATAATAATGGGTTTTGATTTTCATTACTGTAATAAAAAAAGAAACCACAGATGCCTGGGTTACGCTTCATGTACCCCTGGAGAACAACTGCTTTAAAGTACAGTGTTGCATTTCACAGCCAGAGCAGGCTATAGTGTGAGCATTTGTTCTGCTCTGAGTCCTAGTTTGGAACAAGGGCACACGCTTCACTGAGTCAAATGTGACAACAGGGAACTTATTCCAGCAAATAACACATCTCTCCTGTGCTGACAGTAGATAGATTCTGAGCATTCAACTAAAATGTGAACTAAAGGAAAGGCGAATGTAAAACGATCCTGACTGTATTTGAGAAGAACATGTTGGCTAAGTAATATATCCATATTCTACTGATATGCTGTAAACCCGATGTTCAGCCAACTTTCTAGTTTATGTTGGTAACTTCTTTCAGTTGGATTGTTTCAACATGTTGGCGATGCAAAGTCACTGCTTATAAAATATTAACCATATTTCTTGATTGACACCTGCAGGATGCGTTTATGTGGAGTGACATTTTCAACTGTGCCTGCTGTCTCTCTGTCATTCTCCCAGACAGCCAGAAGCAGAAGTGCCCTTTCATCTTCCCTACCTCCTCACCCAGAACTGTGATGCAGGCCGAGCATCTGACACACACCTCCAGATGGCCCGAGAGTCTGCAGTGGACACACACTAGTGAACATGGAGGGAGAAGGGAGAAGCAAATGTATAGAGAGTGATGGATGAGTGGGTAGAACTCTTGAAAAAGGCAGGATATTGGCACTTATTGGAGGATAACACTGGCGAGGTTCAAAAGGAGGATGCATTTTATTGCTTGCCAAACCGATTCCCAAAATATGAGCTGTTTATTACTCACCTCTGCAAAGATAAATAGAACAAGTTTGTCTACGTGGCTTCCATACATACATGCATTATTGGTTTCTTTTATATTATTTGCTTGGTATTCACCAAATTATGAGAGTGCTTCATCAGAATATAAATGCTAGGATACATCTGTTAGTTATATTTTACCCTACATTTTGTCTTTTCTCTTTGCTCCTTTTTGTTCTTCCTAAAATGTGTTTGAGGTAAGATTTTGATTCCACAATGCAATGTTTAGGCACTTTTTATGCTCGAATCTGATTGGTCAAAAGAAGTTGACCTGTCAGCTGCTTTGACAGTTGTTCCAGCTGCAAGACAAATCAGTTTTATATCAAAGTTCTATTATAATGCATTAATGTTTCTATAATCACAACATACAGAGGGACTTGTATGGCAGATATGGTGAAGTTTTCTATGAGGAGAGGTTTGTTTAGTATTTTTAGGAGTATCCAGTGCCAGTGCCTTGCAACAGCCAGTTTCTTTCATTTTTCTGACACTGGAAGTCTTCAGGATGGAAGACTTTGCAGTTTCCCAGTTCCATTTTTGTCTCATTAACTTCAAGAGAGAGGGGGGGGGGGGGGGGGGGGGGGGGGGGGGGGGGGGTTGGGAGAAAGAGAGCCTGGTGAGGGTGTGTAGCTGCTAATACATGAGTGATAATAGGAACTAATTTCACAGTTGCTCCACAACATTAAATGTAGCTATAAACAAATAAAAAGTATATATATTGCTATGATATAAGAGTAATAAAACACTTCCAGACATGCCATTATTGGAAAATAATCAGCTTCACAGTACAGGTAACAGTACATCTTCACGTCAGGCCGCATCACATCACCCCTTAGTTGGGATTTTGAATTGGTTGCTAAATTGTATCACAGAATGTTTAATAAAGTTTGACCTTAAATGGAGGGCATAAACAGATGAAAGAAAAGGAAGGCCTAAATGAGGGCTGAATTGTGGTTTAGACTAGTTAAACATTAGGTCAGAGAAGCTTTGATAAGTCTCACTGAAATCCGTAGGTCACTATTTCTTTAGTCTTGAGAGGATTAAAAGATGCAGCAAGGACGGGAGTTCTGCCACTTCAGTGTTCTGGAGGGAGACAGAGAGCCAATTATTCTCTGTAGTCTGGGAGGTGTATGTTTGAAAATATTTGCATCACAGTATTGCTCAGATTAAAAGATTTTTCTGATCAGTAACAGTGGAAGATCTCTTCTAAGAACCAAAGCCATTAAAGGTGTGTCATTTCATGTGGGATGGCTTTTCAGACATGAAGGTGCAAAAAAGAAGTAAAGGAACAAAGGATTTATCTTTAAAAAACTGTGCTGAGAAGCCATCCAAGGAGAAACAACAGACAATCAATTTCTAATCTGTTGTGGAAATATTTGCTGAGGGGGAAAAGGAATTTTATGTTTGATTTCAATGGCTATATACAGTGGGGTCCAAAAGTCTGAGACCACATTGAAAATCTGGGATTTTTTTTTTACTTAAAATTGGAAATAAACAGAAGGTTTTTGAAATTTGAAATATTAAAAACAAAGAAAGTAAATTTCGATATCTTGCATATTTAATATTCACTATTAATATGCACTATTTCTAGGTCCCTATTTAAATGTAAGCAAATGTGTGTTATTGACCATGTTAACTGCTTTGTACAAAAGGTCAGATTCTCCTCATGCCTAATCTCTTCTATTGAAGCATGTGATCAGACAACACTCTGATGGATCTGATCTAAATGGATCATAAGGTTTTGCACAGGGTTTTAACTTGTGGAGTCCAAGCCAGCTCGAGTGCCCACTGTCATTAAAGCAAAAAGGGGAACATATAAATACTAACTCTGAAAACTCTGAAATTCATGTGAAAACTCTGAAATTTATGTAAATATTTCAAAGATTCTGCTTTTCATTCAAGTTGTTGACAATTGCTGTATTAAATTAGAAAAGAATGCAAAGTAAAAGCATTTTCACTAGTGTTCTCAGACTTTTGCACCCCACTGTGTTGCTTTAGTTCCATACAGCTATGAACCATTTTCCCTCAACATTGTGTACTTAGAACAAGAGAAGCACTTCTGGTAAGAATCTATCCAACCACCTGGTGTGTGTAGTATTCTGCCTGAACTCATATAAAGCTTTGACTGATCACAAATCCTCTGTTAAAGCCTAAAGCTTAAAAAAAAAATAAAGCTGCCAAATTAACTATGACTCAGAAAGTGAGCCTTTCTTTTTCTTTTTTTTTTGTCTCTGAAGCAGAGTGGTACTAATAAAGGCCCCATTGACTGGTCATAATAAAGGAATCTCTTAACCTGCTGTTCTGTGAAGTGAGCATGCCAACCAAATATACACTGAGCTGCCAGTTTATTAGGTAGATCTGCCTTGTAGCTGCACCCTCCTAGAAAAATCACATACATTTCACATATGATAATATGTTTTCACATTTGATTATGTGATAAACTTGTAATTACATTAAAAAAAAAACCATAAAAGTGCATTTCAACATGTCATGACCTGAAATTGCACGTGAACTCACGTAAGCCCATCTGACATCATGTGAAAGATATGTGAGAACTAAAACCACAGGTGGGGTCCACACAGTGGTGCAGCGGGTAGCGTTGCCAACTCACAGCTCCATGCAGGGTCCCCAGTTTGGTCTTTGAGCTCAAGTTACTCTCTGTGTGAAGTTTCACATGTTCTCCCTGTCTCCAAGTGGGTTTCCTCTGGGTTTCCTTCCGCCTCGCAAAAACCTGGAAGTAGGTGGACTGGCTGTGCTAAGTTATCCCTAGGTCTGAATGAGTAGTTTGTAAAGTTCACCTAGAAGCAGCGCTGGGGTCAGAAACTGATTCTAAGAAAGGTTAAATGAGATCAAGCACAAATTCCACATGAAGACAAATGACCTGTAGTCTGCAGTTCAGTGTACACCTACAAGGTGAATCAATATGGTGTGTGTCTAACACAGTGTTTAAAAACCCCAACAACACTGCAGTGCCTGATACACTGATAGCCTCCAATGTTAGTGTCATGGCTGTGCTGGGAATGAATCATGCCCCCTAAATAATATCTGGTCAGTGGTGATCTCTTTCCATTGATGAACATGGAGGACTGACGAACTGAGTACAGTTACTGATTGTAGGGTTACGGTCAGTGGCTAACATAGGGTTACTGACGAAATGGCCAAAGTAGTGTAAACATAAAGAAGGTGTCTAATAAACTGGGAGCTCAGTGTAGATGAGTTCAGTGTGGGCAAATGTATTGGTGAATCTGGAGAAAATCAAGAAGTTTATCAAAAGGAAATTTTATGACAACTAATATTGGGTAAAAATGTTCAGATATACAGTAAAACATACAATGCAACCCTATTCACCATCTATGTCTTTGGTTAAATTTTAGCCTCATAGCTCCAGCTGAAAATCTAAAGAGGGCACCAAATATGTCCTGGCTGGTTAAATTTTATTTTGTGGTCAAACTATTCCTATAGAAAGCATTTGATTTATACATTAGTTGAGCTGAAAGTTGAAATGCCTATGATGAGAAACCAGCAATGTCCAAGCTTATAGTTCCAGTAAAATACAGCACATTACATTAAACCCACTAGACCATGCAGGTAACTACACAGAACAACACGAGCAGTGTCAGTATAAAATGAGAAGAAGCAGGTGTTCTCCAGCAGGAGCGTGTACCGCTAAACTGGTCCTGGCTCTAGAGACAGCATGGAAGAATGAGGGTTGTAGAGTCATTAAGTATGGAGGGCCATAAGGCAGGCATGATGCCACCTGAGATCTGGCCTCGCTGGCAGTACGTACTGGCACACTGTTGTACTCTGAATGTGCAGCATGGGTGGGCCTTGAAAGCAGGCCAAGGCAGAACTTTCAAGAACAGAAAGAGACAGAGAGTGAGATGGACATATCTGGAGGAATAAAAAAAACTTACTGTATTTTTAAATGTATGTTGTTGCTGTTCTTTTGGCTGCTCCTGTTGGGGGTCTCCACGGCAGATCATTGGTTCACAAATTTGATTTGGCACAGTTTTTATGCCGGATGCCCTTCCTGATGCAACCCACCCCAATTTTATCCAGGCATGGGACCAGCATTGAAAGTGTCCAGTTTTGCGCAACCCCAGTGGCTGGGGCTGTTTCCCTAGCCAGGAATTGAACTCAGTCCATGGTGGTGAGAGCTCCGAGGCCTAACCACTAGTCCACCAAGGGCCCATATATTTCAATGTATAAATAAAAAAAATTAGGGATGCATGAATAATGATACTGGTATTGGGTGTCATTTGATTCATGCTTGTACTCATAAAAATACACTGATACTATGTAATACTATGTGACATAAGTCTAATGTACTTCGTCACGCTAATGAACAGATGACACAAAATTACTGGGATCTGAGTGTATTTCATGATTAGTCACATCACTCAAAACAAAGTAGGCTGCAAATTGTGCTCTGTGACAAAGGATGGCAACACAGAGCATAAACAGAACTAAATAAAATGTTCCCTGATGCCCCCCATTGTTTAATACTAAGTAGGCTACTTATTCTGGTGTCAGTGTCAGTATCGACAAGTACCAGAAAACATGCACTCGTACTTGGTCTGAAGAAAAAAAAAGAGGTAGCAATGGATCCCTATTAAAAATATAAGCATTGCAATAATTGCAAAAAATTTTTTTTGGAAATTAACAATGTAAATAATGTAAATAAATATGTATCATGATATTTAGGTTTTCTAACAAAGTGCCTGCAGAAAATAGTTTAATCTGTATGTTCATTTACTGAGTGGCCAGTTTATTAGGTGTACTGATGTAGTAAGTGGTAACTCATTATGTATCTTAACATTTCATAAGCTAGTAGTTACTGTGACAAACAATCAAGTTAATTGAAGGAGAACTCCACCCTGAAACACTTTTCTCTATATGGCCAAAAGTATGTGGACACCTGTGTGCACACAATTGTATAGAATGGCTTTGTATGCTGTAGAATTGCAATTTCTCTTGACTGGTACTAAGAGGCACAAACCTGCTACAGCATGACAGTGCTCCTGTACACAAAGTGAGCTCCATGAAGACATGGTTTGCCAAGGTCGAAGTGGAAGAACTCGAGTGTCGCTGCACAAAGCTCTGACCTCAACACCACTTTGAGATGAACTTCGGAATGAACTGGAACGCCCACTGCACCCCTGGCCTCCTCACTCAACATCAGTGCTTAATCTCACTAAAGCTCTTGTGGCTAGATGAGCACAAATCCCCACAGCCATGCTCCAAAATCTAGTGGAAAGCCTTCCCAGAAGACTGGAGGTAATTATAACAGCAAAAGGGGACTAAATCTGGAATGGGATGTTCAACAAGCACAGATGTTTTCTATGGACTACACAAATACACATTTACACACACACACACTCCTGTTAACCCATATGAGGATGGGTTCTCTGTTGAGTCTGGTTCCTCTCAAGGTTTCTTCCTATCTCCATCTCAGGGAGTTTTTCCTTGCCACCGTCGCCTCGGCTTGCTCTTCAGACACACTCTCGCACTTCATCTTACTTTTTTGTTTGTG